TATAATTTACAGATAATTTTTCCATTAATCAGTTTGCTTTAATCAAACTGTAGGCATTTTGTCTCGTTTTGTTTTCATAGTTTTTAATCATGTTTACCTAACAAAAGCACCAGAACAAACACACATTATTCACACATTAAACCTCACATCATCACCTTTTAATTCAATTCAGTTTTCATAAAGACTAGAACTTTAAATATAGCACAAGCAGAAAACAATCGAGAGAACTAAAACCATGACTGACACTAAATTAAGGAATATTAACAAAACTCAAAAAATACATGAGCACTGTGTTAAAGACCCAGTGCCATGACACTTTTAAAACAAAGAAACCTCCAACAGAACCAGGGTCAGTGAGGGGTGGCCATCTGCTACGACCAGTTGGGGTGAGAGGAGGCAGACAGCAAAAAACATCAAATTCAATATGGAGAGTAATAAAAGGGGAATGAAGAAAGACATCATGGGAAGCCCTCAGCAACTTAGGTCTATTGAAGCATAACTATAGGAGAATTCAGGGTCACCTGGTCCAGCCCTGACCTTATGCTTTATTGCTTTATCAAAAACAGTTAGCGTGGGTGTCTGTGAATCCAATTTGGAAGCTGGTTCAACAGGGGCGTGAAAGCTGAAGGCTCTGCCTCATATTCTACTTTTAAATACCCTAGGAACCACAAGTAAGCCTGCAAGCTGGGAGGTCTTTAAAAAAAAAACAGGACCCGATTGTTCGGACCTTGTATGCAAGTAGAAGTATTTTAAATTTGATTGTGGATTTAACAGGTGAGACAATATATGAGAAATATGCTCTCTCTCGCTAGCCCTTATCAGTACTAATAAATCCATTTTGGATCAGCTGAGGGCTTTTCAGGGAGCTTTTAGGGCTGCCTGATAATAATGAATTACAGTAGTCCTTCATAGAAGTAATAAATGCATGAAGTGGTTTTTCAGCATCATTCAGACTGCTTCTAATTTTGGAGAAATTGTGTTAATGCAAGAAGGCAGTCCTAAATATTTGTTAGACATACACAACAATGCCTCCTATAGGAAGTAGATCAGGTCAGCTACTAATCAGAAGATTGGTGGTTTGATCCCTGTCTGCTCCAGTCTTAATGCCAAATATCCTTGGGCAAGATACTACTGCCTGCTTTATTGTTGTGTATTAGCC